GATATTTCAACTTTTTTGGAGCCTATTTTTGAGCTCCCTTCTTAATCACTTCTGATTAGGATCTTTCAAACGCCCAACAACATAGAGAATCAACCAGCAGATAGGCGAGGGCACGCTCCCTCAATCCACGGTCTGCTTGTAGTTCACTCTATCGAGAGGTTGGCTTTTTTAGTTGAAGATGACCCACACTCCAACTACCCCTCAACTGGCAATCTCACTGCTGTACCCAGCGCCACTGAGGGTGGATCTGGACAAACTAGTCGCCATTTGCTAGAGCATGTCCGACTTGTTAAAATGATGGAATGTAGACATCTACGTAGAGTTGTAAAGATTTTAAAATATTTAGTTTGTATCTTGTATGCTCTGAGCCCGAAACAGCTCCACACACGATCTGACATCATCATGTTCCTTCTGATCTCCCTTAGTTCCTTACAGTGATCATCCAGCATATTCACCAGGGTTCTGGACTGGGTGGAGTGTACTAGCAAATCTCCAAGGAGCAGTAGCCTAGCATGAACGATTCGGGAGTTCTGACAGCAAAAGCCAAACCTCCTTCGAGTCCGACCCTTCCGAGATGAGTCTCAAGCCAATGATTTGTGGCTGAAATAGAATCATGATTTTTCCGCGCAAGATTCCTTTAAGGGTCGACTGGAGTAAGGTTCGATGATGACGATGGATTCCGAAAAACTCCTATTTTGGCAGCTTTTTTCTCTATATAGATTTTCGCCCACCTTGATTCTCCAACTTCTAAGCGCCATATCTGAGTACACTTACAGTATAGAAGAAAATGCCAAACATGGTATTGTAGAGCAGAAGAAGTACTTTCAAATGATATATGTGATTTTTGGGTAATACTTGTATTCACTGAATTCGTAGCTCGAAAAGAAAAACGCTACGATATTATGCTCCAACCCAATACCTAACTGAGGCAGGCGGCCCCTTTGTGCGGAAAAGGGTCCGCACTAATAGGCCGCCGGTAGGCCCGATCAGCTGTAAATTCTTGTAAAAATGCTTATGCTCACATAATCCTACATGTTATCCAGTGCCTTCTTATTTTTGGCCATGTGCCCATATGCCCTTTTGGGAGTCATCCCACTATTTCGTCATAAGTTGTTATTGAATATCCTCTTACCAAGATCTCCTGTCTAGATCTCTCACTTAGATACCAATTATGGTAGACTCGTTGTTTTTACGATTCATCAAATAACCCACACCCTCATGTCGATTCACCTATGTTCTGAATAAACGATTCAGTTACCCAAGGTTATCAAGTGTATCTAGTCTGGACGGTCAAGTCCTATATTACCTGTGCTCATTGATTCGTCTAATCTTACCTTGCCTTTTCAGCTTTAAAGTTTACTTGCAGTTGTGGTACCGACAACCGAACCTGCAACGGACTCCGCCCCCTCTTCGGTCTGGGTGGAAGAAGATTATTCGAAGTCAATCGATCTATATTCGGAGTGGCCTAAAGCCAAACAGAAGACTCCGGCAGTTAGCCCACAAGCGGGTAATCAAAAAGGATAGAAGACGCCTCCTGAACCACCGGATCAGCACAGGTTGGGATCTCGCCGTCTCATTTCTTTATACTTTATACACTTTTAACTT